GGCCAGCTCAGCCCACCAGGGGGCGGGCTGGCTGGCATGTGGTGCTGGGGGATTGAACCGCGGTCCCTGATGCTTTTGCCAAGCTTGTTCTAAGTAGGTGCTTTAGACCACTGAGCCATCTCTCCAGCCCCGGTAACTATCTTTTTGAAGTACAAAGGCTGATCCTGTGGAAGGCTGCAGGGTTGGCTGTACTCAGGATGAGGGAAGATCCTGCCAGGAGAGCAGCAAACACAGAGGCCTAGCAGTGAGGGGCTTGAGTGTTCTGAGGAGTGTGGCTTCAGCACAGGGCTGGTCAGGCGAGTCAGTGTTCAGCTGGTGCTGTTGACAAGAACGTGGATCAAACATGGTTCATAGAAGTTTTCTTTCCCCCCAGTAAATATATTCTGCTCTAAAGGAAAAAAAAAAAAAAAAAAAGCACGTGGCTCAGTCAGATGGAGTGTGTGAGTGTGTGTGTGTGCATGCGCATGCGTGTGCACACACACACGCACACACATGCCCTTGTGTGAGGGGGTTGTCTTTTTCTCCTGGTACTGAGGATTGCACCCAGGGCTTTGCACATGCCGAGCAGTTGTTCAGTCACTCAGCTCCGTCTTCAGCCCCCAGCCCTTCTGCAGGCCAGGCTGGTCTCAAATTCAAGATGATCCACTTGCCTCAGCCTCCCCAGTGCTGGGATTATAGGCGTGCACCACCACATCCAGTTTCAGGGCCAGCATGGCATCATCCAGTACCAGGAATCAAACCTGGGTCCTTGTGCTTTCCAGGCAGGTGCTTAGACTATCGAGCTATCTCCCAGCCCACTCTTTCTTTTTGTCTTTCTTTGGCACTGGGGATTCAACCTGTGTCCTTTGCACTGAGCTATATCCATCCCCTCCTGTGCCCATTTTTTATTTTGAGACAGGGTCTGGCTACTTTGCCCAGGCTGGGCCCAAACTTGCAGTCCCTCTACCTTGTACTCCCTAGTCTCTAGAGTTACTGGGACTCAGCACCTTGGCTGACTCAGGTGTACCTTTAGGAGAGCCCCACTAATTGCACAGTGCATGCGAAGTATGAGATTAGGAGACATTTCTTACAATCTTGCTAGGTGAGAAGGGGTAAAACATTTGTAATGAGAATAGAAGTGCGGGGCTGGAGAGATGGCTCAGTGGTCTAAAGCACCTACTTGGAACAAGCTAAACTAAGCTAAAGCACAGGGACCGCGGTTCGATCCCCCAGCACCACATGCCAGCCAGCCCCGCCCCCTGGTGGGCTGAGCTGGCCACACACACACACACACACATACACACAATAAATAAATGTTTAAAAAAAAAATAAAAAAGAATAGAAGTGAGTATGTATTGGATTAGAAAAATAGGAAGATAGAGGGCTAGCGAGATAGATCACTGAACTTAGTGCCTGCTTAGGTACGCTTAGGTACACACAGGGACCGGGGTTCAATCCCCAGCACCAAATGGCGCACCGACCCAGCCCGTGGGCACACTGAGCTGGCCACCAAGTCCAGGCATGGTAGCATATACCTGTAACCCCAGCACTGGGGAGGCTGAAAACAGGAGGATCACTAAGAGTCCAAGCCGTACCAAATGCATTTGAAAAAAATGAGATAAATCGTAAGAATCAGAGACTTGGTGGTTGTTTTTGAAGTATTGAGTTTTGAATCCAGGTCTTTTGCACTAAGCTCAAAAGCACCACCAGCACCACCTCCACCCCCTTTTTTTTTTTCTTTTTTTTCTATTTTTTGAGACAAGGTCTCACTGTGTAGCCCAGGCTGGCCTCAAACTCACAGAAGTTGTGCCTTTGCCTCCTGAGTGTTGGGATTACATGTGTGGTGCCCCACCTGGCTTCCTTTTATTCTTTGAAACAGGCTCACTGGGTTGCTAAATTGCCCAGTCAAGACTGGAACTTGTAATCCTCCTGCCCAAGCCTCCCAGAGTGCTGGGATTACAGGCGTGTGCCTGCGAGGTTACAGCATAGATGGAGCTGCAGCAGTATCAGACCCCCGATTTCTGCCGTCCAGCGGTTCTGCTAGTGCCCGAGGCGAGAAGAGGAAGAAGAGTGAGGAAGAGGATGAGAAGTGGCCAACTCTGCTGAGGCCATTACAGTCCAGAGCTATCTTAGGCATCTGGACCTTTGGAGCTGGGTTAGTGACCAATGGGGTGTCGCTCAGCTCCTTCCCATCACGTGCACGCTCAGGCAGGAAGCCCAGGCCCTGCAGGCTGATGAGCTCAGAGATTCAGCACCTACCCAGGATGCTGGGGTGAGGAGAGTGTGAGTCTAGAGGAATATGATTTCAGCCAACATTAGCTGCCTGCTTTGGTCCCTTTTACCTGTGGGAAACAAAGCTCACAAGAACAAATGAGTTAGGAACAATGGCAGTAGAGCAAGTGGCCCCTGATGGAAGGACAAGATGTGGCCACAGTCAGCATATTGTCACTGTCCCTTTGCTAGCATGCTCTGTGTTCTCTATCTCCATTTTCCTGTTACACCTGAGACGGGAGGCGTCTCATGGCCCTAGCAGAAATTTGTCATTTATTTGACAATTCCTAATTCCTTTCCCATGGTAGAAAAATAAGTGACAAGGCACTTCCTGCTCACAGTCTCGTTCCTCATAACAACTCTGATAGGGAGCCGGGGAGATGGCTCAGTAGAAGAAGTGCTTCCCTGGCAAGCGCAAGGGCTGAGTTCAATCCCCAGTTCTGCAAAAAAAAAAAAAAAAACAACTTGATATTTTACAGAGGAGAAAAAAACAAGTGGCAAAATTAGGATTCACATCCCCCTCTGATGGTGCCAGAATGTGAGCCTTAGGACTCGCTGGAGCTTTGGTCCTCAGGTGTGACGGGGAGAAGAGAGTACAGGTGCACTTGGGCTTGCAGCCTTTGGAGGCTTCTCAGGCACAGGGAGCCTGTCTTCCCTGTGGCCTGATGCTATGGTTAGGAGGAAAGATGCGGTTCGGGAAGGATCCCATAGACATGGCTGGAGGGTTTATGCCAGCAGAGGCCACGCCTGCCCGCCCTGGCCAGTCCCGTCTGTGCTGTTGCCCTTGATGCGCCCCCCCTCAGCACACTGGGCCTCCAGGAGAAGTACCTGGCACCCTCCGAGCAGTCAGCCGAGCAGGAAGCCATGCAGCTGTAGCAGCTCACTGCGCTGGCCGCAAGATGCACAAGCAGCACTGGGGAGCGGGAAGGCTCCTGGCAAGCAGCAGGCCGCAGACCCGAGGTCCAGTCTTCGCCGCAGCATGAGGAGCTGGCGCGGCACACTCAGCTCTGAAGAGGACTCTGGACAGAAAGCCAGACAAAGGGCAGAGCAGCCACCATGCCGCTGCTCTGTGGTGTCCTTCAGCCCAGGGCCCTGCGCCCAGGAGGTGCCGCCCGACAGTGTGAACCATCTCCACTTGGATTGGGCTGCAGTGTGCTATAATGCAAGAGTTTACTTTCTACTTGCTGTGCCTTCCAAACTCTTCTTCAGTCCTCCAGGCCCAGGGGTTGGGGCAGAAAAAGGGACATCACTGTCCCTATGGAGAATCTCTTCTCCACACCAATCATTGCTTCTCCAGCACACAGAACCCTTTCCGTACTCTCCTGTGATGTGGTGTTAATATTCAGTTTTAAGAGGAAGCCTCCAGCTGAGTCTTCACAGGTAACGCTTCCTGGCTAATCTATACTTAATGTTTTTTGTTTTTATTGTATTTATTTCATGTTATCCTATTTCCAGCAAGTGTTAACGAGTCAAGGTTTAAAGATTAAAAGCTTACTTCAGAAATTTATGCAAAATGATTGTCTAGACGAAAAAGAAATTTTTTTTTTTTTTTTTTTGCGGAACCAGGGATTGAACTCAGGTCCTTGCACTTGCCAGGAAAGTGCTTATTCCACTGAGCTATCTCTCGGCCCAAGACGAAAATATTGAGTATATGACAGGAGAGTTGTTAAAAGGACTTGGAAAAAATGTTTAAGTCAGTATGCGTTTCTTATATCTGGTGGAGTGCAGTTCATACTGTCAACCACCAGGTGGCACCCCAGGCTTACTTTTGCAGGAGTTAACTGGGACCTGCTGGCCTAGGCAATGTTATTACTGCCTGAAATCTTATTTGTAGTCTATTAATACATATGCAGGATGTTTGGCTCTCCATTGTTTTTTCTTTTTCCTGCACTGGGCATTGAACCCAGAGCCTTGCACATGCTAAACAAACTCTACCACTGAGCCATACTCCAGCCCTTTTGATTTTATTGCGACAGGGTCTTGTCAAGTCACTCAAGTTGCCCTCAAACTTGCATTCCTCCTGCCTCAGCTTCCTGAGCAGCTGGAATTACAGGTATGTGCCACCATGCCCAGCTGGTATTTTAGAGTGTCTCCACATGTCATCCTCACAGGGTTCGCCCAGCAACCTGTATAGCTAGAGGTGGTGAGGAGTAGCACTCCCATCTTACAGGGAGGAAACAAGGATGGGGGCTGGCTTCCATGTCTGCCTACCAAGCCCCCTCTGCTGACTGAATTTTGTGTCACTCATGTGTAGACTGACTGGTGAAAAGTTAGTCTTTGGGCTGGGAGAGTAGCTCAGTGATAGAAGGCTTGCCTAAAGCAGGGAGGGAGAAAATGGGTATAAAGAAAAAAGGGGTAATTGTACTCCTTCCCACAGATTAAAAAAAAAAAAATTTAAAGAGAATTTTAAGAAGTAAAAAAAAATTGGAAACAACAGAATTTCAGTAAACAAAGTAATAAGCAAGGGCTGCAGAGATAGCTCAGTAGTCTCAGTGCCTTCCTGGCAAGCACAAGGACCTGGGTTCAATCCCTGTACTACATGCCGTGCTGGCCCCAGAACCCTGGGGTCGCTGAGCTGGCCACCAAGACTGGGCGTGGTGGTACACGTCTGTAATCCCAGCACTGGGGAGGCAGCAAACAGGAGGCCCACTATGAGTCCAAGGTGCATAGTGAGACCCTGTACCAAATACATTAAAATTAAAAGTGATAGAAATCCTCAGTGCTTGTTATATTACACATTGTTATCTTCAAATTAGTTCAGATTGCCAGATATAAGCATGCAAAGTTGGGCAAAAATAATTATAAAAAAATTAAAAGTTAAAAGAAAACTATTGGGCTGGTGAGATGGCTCAGTGGTCTAAAGCACCTACTTAGAACAAGCTTAGCAAAGCACAGGGAGTGCACTTCAATCCCCCAGCACCACATGCCAGCCAGCCCCGCCCCCTGGTGGGCTGAGCTGGCCACACACACACACACACACTCACTCTCTAATAAATAAATAAATATTTTTTTTTTTTTTTAAAGAAAACTATTGGGGCTAGGGAGATGGCTCAGTGGAATAAGCGCTTCCCTGGCAAGCGCAAGGGCCTGAGTTCAATCCCCGGTTCCACAAAAAGAAAAGAAAACTATTGAGGCATAAACTGCTCCCTTCAGTAAACCGGCAGAAATTAGCAGCACACTGCACAGCCACTGTCCTCAGTCTGAGGTTTCCAGGACCTGCACGCGCCCCTGGTGGCACCGACAGTTCATCAGTGCAGGTGCCTTTGTGGGCCCAGGAAGCACAGAGCTGGGACCCTGAGAGTGAGTGTGTGTGGGTCATGGCGGTGCGGCAAGAGGCCAGGGCCTCCAGCCTTTTCCGAGCTAGCTTCCCCTCATACCCAGAATCTCTGTACCCCATGGCTTCACTGCAGCTGTGAGCATCAAGCCTAAAGAAAAAAAGAAATCAGCAGTACAGTTGTCCAAGCTATCCTGTGCACATACATGTATATTTCTCTTTCCCTTCCTTCTTTTTCACCTTTCCCTCATCCCAGTTGTTTCTTCCCTTTGAATAGTTTCTTTCCCTTTCACAGTATAGTACCCTAAAATATGGAACACGTCACCAATTTGCATGTCATCCTTGTGCAGAGGCCATGCTAATCTTTTTTTTTTTTTTTTTTTGTGGAACCGTGGATTGAACCCCAGCCTTTGCACTTACCAGTTGAAGCGCTTATTCCACTGAGCCATCTCCCCAGCCCCCATGCTAATCTTCTCTGTATTGTTCCAGTTTCAGTACATGGGCGGCCAAAGCAAGAACCCCACAAAACTTTTTGAAACAGGGTCTCACTATGCAGCCCAGGCTGGCTGTGAACTCCTGGTGATCCTCCTGCCTCACATTTTGTGGGAGAAAGATTTTAGGTGCCCAGAGGTGATTTTTTTTTTTTTTTTTTTTTTTTTTTTTTTTTCGCAGAACCAGGGATTGAACTCAGGCCCTTGCGCTTGCAAGGCAAGCGCTTATTCTACTGAGCCATCTCCCCGGCCCCTCCAGAGGTGATTTATAACCAATGAATCATAAATCAAAGGGAAGATAGGTCACTGGTGATTTGGGAAGTTGGAGAATTCATAGACAAATCCATTCTGAAATGGCAGGGAAATGGTGTTGGCTGATCCTTGTGTCCCAGTTTTGGTGGCCATTGCTGAAGGCAGAAGCTTGAGGGGCTGTGAGGAAGCTGCTGTCGCTGGATTGCTCTGAAAGCAGGCGGCCTCCGCTCCCACGCTTGTCTGCAGAGGAGATAATAACCGGGTGCTGCCTCCCCGGCTTCTTTCATCTGAGGAGTTCAAAGAGCCTCATCCCCATTAATATTTTACCCACTAGGTGGGGAGTACTCACAGAGCAAGCCAGGGAAACTGAGGCAGGAGGCACTGCCTAAGGCTGGCTGTGAGTCACCTATGAGACCTGGAACCCAGGAAGCCTGACGCCCGGCTGCTGAACAGATCCTTCCTCGGGCGCTGGTGGTGCTGCGCCTTCCAAGCTACTCCAGTA